CTGCAATATTTGGTCTAAAAACGTCTTTTTGCTGCTCACTGCACTTTGGTGAAGTTTCTCTTCTGGATGTAACAGAGTTGATGCAATCCACTGTAAAAGTGACAAAAACAAAGTTATTTTATTTTAGTGATTAATTTGACCTATATGTAGAAAATGTTRCATTTACATCACATCATGGATCACATATTGATCAGATGCTGCTGCTGACTGATTTGGGGAGGGGGGGTTATCTACAAGCTAAAGGTAGAAAAACAAACCAAAAGTAACTAAAGTTCCACAACCAATAAAGAAGCAAAGATTCTGGCTAAAGCAGAACAAAGTTAACTAAATATATGAAGAGGTTTGCTAAAAGCTATAGTAGAAAAAAGTAGCTAAAAGTGTCAAAATGCTAACCAGAAGCTAAAAGAAGAAAAAAACTGGTTAAAGCTAAAACTAGGAAAAAGATAGCTTAAAAAACACAAATGCTGGCTAAAGCTTGTAGCTAATGTTCTGCTTCTTTTAGCTTTATTTTTTAGTTGTAGTTTTTTCATAAAGTTTAATTAAACTCCTTCATCGCCTAACGCTCGCTCTGTTTGCTGTAAAAATGCTCTCTCTGTAGTGTTTCTCTGTGGGACTGTCAGACTGTGACGGTTGTATTTTTAAATAATACATTTCAACATGATTTGTTTTCCTGAAGCTTGTGAAAATAATATTTTTTGTTTCCACTCATCTCGCGGTGCTTTCCGTCTTCGTCGTCCCCCTGCTCTGTGTCTGACAGCCCTCCTCTTCCTCTCCACCTGCTCTTCCTCCCACCGCTTTGGGAGATTGTCAGAGTTGTTCTTCGGTGCCAGATTTGGAATAGATGCAGCCTGAAATACCTCACCTCCCCGCTGCCACTGGCCAATTATCCTGCTCATACTGAGCTGAAAGGACCTAATGTCACAGATAACCTCCCAGAACAAGTTGGATATTAAGTAAAGTTCAGTTTCCTCTGCTGTCAGTTAGGKAGGCCGGTGAGGAAGACTCTGGTTTCTTTTTATTAAACATTTGTCTCTGTACTCTTTCTGCCATTTAATATTGGTCTTATCTTCTTCTCCATGTTATTACTTTTAAACATCCAGTCGAATTTTGTTAAGAAGAAAAGTTGTTATAATATTAACTAGGGACTAGAAATGTTTGTAAAACCTAAAATTTGAACAAGTTTGAAGGACAGATGTACTTCTGTCCAAGGAATATGGTTGTGGAATAATCTGGATAATGATTATAAAAATGCTGGTTCAATTAATTTGTTTAAAAGAATAATAATTAATTTGTTAAAGAAATACGAAATTGTTTAATTTGTATATAAAAGAGCTGCTGTTTGTTTTGTTTTATTACTTGAACATTATTATTTGAAAATTAGGAGCAGATATTATAAGATTTTTTTCTTCTTTCTGATACTCCATTT